TCGTATCCCGGACCTGGTGGCTTGAAAACTACTCCAAGTGCATGTGCACATGTGTGCTCAAAATCCCAAAAAGAGAATGGAGGGGAAGAGATGGTGGCATGATTATCCCCCTCTGGGGGGGTAATCTCTCTCTCTCTCTTTCTCTCTCTCTCTTTTTCTCTCTCTCACCTCCAGCAAGCAAATGTGCCCTATAGCAAATTTTTAAAAATAAAATTATTTTTCTTAAAAAAAAGAGGAAACGAATGTCATCCCTTTCATTATAGGCCAGAGGAAAACCATCCACTGAGATGAGATGAGGGACTTACTTGTAAGATATTTGAGGCTGTGATAAACTTAGTGAAAATCACCATGAGAACCATTGTGAGAGGTGGCAGGTCAGAATAAACACAGCAAATACAGAAATACAGCAAATATGAGAACAAAGCAGGAGAGAGCCCATGCTTGGCCCCATGTGGAAAACAGAGCTAACTAACCACTAAGTTTATGAGGATTAAATAAGATGATACATTTGAGGTACTTTAGTGCCTGGATCATAGCAAAGATTCAATAAAATTAAATGTTTGTTTAGTTATTAATTCAAAATATTATATATCTATTCAACTAGTAAAACACGTTTAAAAATTAAATCCAGAGGCCAGCAGGTGGCATGGTGGTTAAGGCACTAGACTCCCATATGGTGGACCACGGTTCAAATCCTGGACCCCGTGACTTGAAAAATCACATCGGGTGTATGTGCATGCATGCCCAAAATTTCAGGAGTAGAATGGAGAAGGGATTGTGGCATGGTGATTTCTTACTTTCCCTCTCTCTGTGTCTCTCCTGTGAATGCATATCCCTATGGCAATATCTACACACACACACACACACACACACACACACACACACAAATTCAATTCAATGTTGGCAAATTTATGAGAAAATAGGACACATATACCTTGTTCAGTATTTCTGGAGAACAATTTAACAATATGATAAAAGAATTATAAAGCAGTCTATTTCTTTGTATGGTAATTCCATTTGGGGGAAGTATACAAGGAAACAATCCAAAAGGAAAGAAGAAACGCCCCGTGTTTTTTACAGAGATGTTTATTATAAGGCTATTTATAGCATGAGAAATTGAAACAAACCAAATGCTCAAACACAGAAGCTGACACAGTGGCATCCCACGGAGCAGCAGTTTCCTAACTGCTCCATCAGGGTTTCGTGGAAGTAACCCAGGGAGAGTCAGGGAATATGTGTATGTGTCTGGGGTGGGATTGGGGAGACCTGTGTCCTACCTCTAACCATCCAACTTAGACAGCTTTTGTCTCTGTTATATTTTTAAATTCTCCTGCAACTCCCAAAAAGTTTGAAAGCCTCTGTAAATGCATGCATAGTCCATATCGGTAAACAATTTTTTTTTTAAAGAATTCTTTTTATTTAACTTTAGTTATTTATTTATTTATTGACCAGAGAGAGACAGAGAAAGAGAAAGTGAGAAAGCAAGCTGCCAGGTCCACGACTTGAACTGTGGTCAGCCATGTGGGAGTCCAGCATCTTTAACCACCACATCACCTGCCAGCCCCCATATCGGTAAACAGTTTAAATGGAGCGGAGTTTTTACTGTTATTCGTTTTTCTCTTTTCACGGTAGAGCGTATGTGCATACACATGAGACTGAGGGAGAGAGGTGAGCACTCACACACCCACAGGGCCTGGTCACACTGCACTCCGTTTCCTCCATTCTCCTAGCTCATCTGATCTTGGGCATTCATTCATGGGCCTGGTATGTTTCAGGTGGACTGGGCCGGGGATTTGAACTGATCACCATGTGGTGTCTGGCTTCTCTTGTATAGCACATTACCACTACACCACAGAGTTGGCCCTTTACTGCTATTAATAAGTAAATTTTGCAGAATTGTTTTTTGTAAACACAGCACATCTAATCACTGCCATTCAAAGACAAATCATCCATATCTAGCAAAAGAAACAGAATTGTATATTGTAGAACTGGGTTATGTGAACAGCACAGACATTTCTTTTTTTCTTTTTTTAGAGACATTTTTGCTATAGGGAATGTGCGCTTGCTTGAAAGACGGAGAGACTGAAAGCGAGAAATCCCTCCCCCCCAGGAGGGATGGCCACACCACAATCTCTTCTCTATTCTCCTTTTGGGATCGTGGGCATGCACACACAAGTGCCCAGCTTGAATTTTAAGCTGCTGGGTCTGGGACTCGAACTGTAGTCAACTACGTGGGAATCCAGCAACGTAACCATTATGCCATCTGCTGGCCCCCAGCACAGACATTTCAAAGGATATGAATTCTTCCTAGCATTCACTGGTGCTTTATCTTAGGCAAGTGAATGAATCTCTCATTTCTTCATCTGTAAAACGATGCCTGGCTTCTACCTTACTGAATTATTTTGAGGATTCAGGATAATACAAGTAAGCTCCCAACATAGTACCTGGGACTTTAAAAGTATGAATAAATGTTAGAAGATGATTTATGTAAACTCATGGTAATCACAAAGAAAATATATTTAATAGATAAAAGATAAATTATTATCTTCACAGTACTTATGTGATAAATGCTTTAATAAATATATAGAGGGCCAGAAGGTGGATTGGTGGTTAAAGCACTGGATTCCACATGGCTGACTCCACAGTTCAAGTCCTTGACCTCACAGCCTGGAAACTATGCCAGATACATGTTCATACATATCCAAAATCGTGAGAGGCAAGTGAAGGAGAAGGAGCTGTGGCATGACCACCGCCCTGGGGGATGATTTTTCACTTTCCCTTTTCTTTGTCTCTCTCTGGCAAGTATACCTGCCCTGTGGCAAAAAATCTAAATAAGTAAACAAGCAGACTGTGTTTAACCACTGCATATGGGCAAAAAAAACAGAAATCTTTAATTCTCACTTGCAAAAGAGATCAAACACCTACCTTAAAGGTATTATTTTAATAATTGGTTAGGGTTTGGTAGGTGGAGGAAGGAAAGGCATTCCAAGAAAGGAACTTCCATAAATAAGGATGGTGTAGGGACCAACAGATGGCCTAATGGTTACATTCCTGGACTCCCACGCAGTTGACCACAGATCGAGTCCCAAACTTGGTGGCTTAAAACTCCCACCAGGTGCATGTACATGCACACCCAGAATCCCAAGAGAAGAATGGAGAAAGGATTCCAGCATAGCCATCCCCCCAGGGGGTGATTTCTTACTTTCTATCTCTGTCTCTGGTGAGTGTACACACCCTATAGCAAAACATTTCTATTAAAAAAGAAGAAGAAGAAGAAGGATGGTGTATTGGGGGCATGAGATAAAGGCCCACATATATATGGGTACACGATGGCTAACAATCTAACTGACATAGACATAGCTGACTTTTGTGGGTGAAGCAGCTTCATTTCTTTTCTTAAAGATTTTATCTCTTTTTAATTCTATTATTTTTAATACACTCAATCGCTATACCTGCAGTAACTTAATTTTAAGGTAGCTTTGAAGAAGATGAAATTTTAACACAGATGTTCTTGAGATATGTTAACTATCATGAATTTAAATTCGTATGCCATTTCTGTCATAGTTGTAAACATTTGCAATTTGTAGTATCTTATATTAAGATGATCGCTTTTGTATATCAGTTTAATTTACACAAAGTCAGCCTTCATCCAGAGGATGAACGACAATGAATAACAAGAATGCAGTTATGAAGGGTTCCTGCTAGAACCTGGTGCTCTCATGAGCAAGCGCATCCCTACTAATCACAAACAAGGCTGGCTTTTCCTGAAAGCAGATGGGAAGGACCTGTATATCTCAAGATAACATGATACATGATGTATTCACTTGCGGTCCCTGAGCGGCATCTTCTGTGCTGGTATGGACAAGCAGCAGCCTATTTTTAGACTCTGCAGATCTGTGTATTAATTAGGCTAAGCTGTTGTGACAGTTCAGAAAGCACAGTGGCTGGGGGAGGGCTTGTTTTTTCTTTTTTTTTTTTTTTTTTTTTGGGGTTTTTTTTTTTTTTTTTTTTCACTATAGGGCACGTGCGCTCGCCAGACAGACAGACAGAGAGAGACAGAGAGACAGAAAGTGAGAAAGCACCCCCCAGGGTGATGGCCACACCACAATCCCTTCTCCTCCATTCTCCTCTCGGGATCTTGGGCACGCACGCACATGCGCCCAGTGTGAGTTTTAAGCCACCAGGTCTGGGACGCGAACCGCGGTCAACTACATGGGAGTCCAGCGACATAGCCATTATGCTAACTGCTGGTTGCCTGTTTATTTCTTTTCATGATAGTCTAGAGTTGGGTGGGCCATCGGTGTGGGTGAAGAACACAACTCGTGCAGTCAGCCTTCTGTCTCTCCATTCCCCAGATAGTCACATCTGTGTGACCAAAGCTGGCTCACACCACCGTGTTTAAGATTTCCTAGTTCATTTATTCACATCTTCCATGAAAGAAAGAGACCCTGGCAGAGAGGAGTAGAAACAAGATCTCCAACAGGGTCCTGAGACTGCGGTCTACCCTAGCCTCAGCCATCCGGAGTTATGAGCACACAAGTATGCCCCATGTGGACGAGGAGACCTGGGTACGTGAACTTGGGACCTTCCCATGTGGCAGAGCCTGTGTTACTGCTACGCCACTGCAGCTGGCCACACACCCAGTCATTTTATGGGTAAAAAGCAGAGGTGAAAACATCATTCTGCTCGCATTATTGCAAGAGCTCAGTCAAAAACATAGTCACACTTTTCTGTTGGGAGGGCAGGAGTCTGCATCGAGTACTCAGATAAAACGCAAGTGGTTCTCTCCTGAAAGGGAAACGTTCTCCTTGAGTGGGTAATGAGATAGTTCATCTCAGCCATAGTCTTTAGTCCCTAACTAATGAAAAGGAGATTTTTATTTTATAGGTCTAAAAAAATGGACTTTTATTTCTCAAAACAAGAAAAAATATAGTTTTGTTTGTTTCATTTTGCTTACGAAAGGGGCTTTTCTAACTTGTAGCGTATCTTTTTGGTCACAGGAGACTTAGCCAGAGGCCCACAACTGAAGAATTAGAGCAAAGAAATATTCTAAAACGTGAGTACCTATACTTTATTATTTTTTTGGTGTGTGTAATCATTAACAAGCTGCCTCTAGAGACAATCCAGTTATCCAAAGGAACCATAATTCATTAGGTTTCTCCCAACTGACTGAAATGGCCTATTTCTATCACGTCTGTTTTTTATATGGTTTTTTTTTTTTAAAGAATTGGGACCAGCAGATGACATAATGGCTATGTCGCTGGACTCCCATGTAGTCGACCACAGTTCAAGTCCCGGAACCGGTGGCTTAAACTCACACCAAATTGTGTGCGTGCATGCCCAAGATCCCGAGAGGAGAATGAAGAAGGGATTGCGCAGTGGTCATCCTCCCTGGAGAGTGATTTCTCTCTTTCTCTCTGTCTCTCTCTGTCTTTCCAGCAAGCGCATGCACCCTACAGAAAAAACCTCTCTTTTTTTTTAAAAAAAAAAAAAAGAATTATTTATTTGGGACCAGCAGATGGAGTAATGGTTATGTCACTGGACTCCCACAAAGTTGACCACTGTTTGAGTCCTGGATCCAGTGGCTTAAACTCACACCAGGCATGAGTGTGTGCTTGCCCAAAAATCCTGAGAGGAGAATGGAAGAGAAGGGATTGCAGTTTGGTCATCTCCCCAGAGGGTGATTTCTCACTTTTTCTCTCTCTGGCGAATGCACGCACGCTTTAGCAAAAATCTCTCTTAAAACAAGAAAAAGAGAGAGAATTAATTATTTAATTTAATGTAGTTAGTTAGTTAGTTAGTTTAAATTTACTGTAGGGCACATATGCTTACCAGAGAAAGAGAGAGAGAAAGTGAGAAAGCAAGCTGCCAAGTCTAGTACTCAAACCACAGTTGGCCATGTGGGAGTCACAGTTGGCCATGTGGGAGTCCTGTAACTTGACCACCAAAACACTTTCTGGCCCCTCTATCACATCTCTTTGTGATTGTTTTTATATATATTTTTCTTTTCTTTTTTAATTTTTTGGAGAGGTTTTTGCTATAGGGCACGTGCGCTCGCCAGACAGACAGAGACAGAGAGACAGAAAGCGAGAAATCACCCCCCCAGGGAGGATGGCCATGCCGCAATCCCTTCTCCTCCATTCTCCTCTCAGAATCTTGGGCACGCACGCACACGTGCCGGCATGAGTTTAAGCCACCGGGTCCGGGACTTGAACCGTGGTCGACTACGTGGGAGTCCAGCAACGAGCCATTACGCCAACTGCTAGTCCTTATATATATTTTTATAATAAGTTTATTTTATATTCCATTTTATGGCTTTGAACCTAATAGCCCCCAGACTAGACTTATAGTCATGACAATGGTTTTAAGAAAAATGAAATATCGGGACAGCAGATATTATAATGGTTACATCGCTGGACTCCCACATATTTGACCGTGGTTCAAGCCCTGAACCCGGTGGCTTAAACTCACACCGGCCGCGTGTGCATGTGTGCCCAAGAGCCCAAGAAGAGAATGGAGGGGAAGGGACTGCGCGTGGCCATCCCTCCTGGGGGCGTGATTTCTCACTTTCTGTCTCTGTCTCTCTCTGTCTTTCTGGCAAGCGCACATGCCCTATAGCAAAAACCTCTCCAAAAAGAAAAAATGTTCTATACATTCTTTCACTCACATATGAAGAAGAAAATGCTCTAATCCACTTGTAAACAAACACCAAAGAAAAGGCAAAAGAATCTACAAGAAAATACATGAGATCTTTCTATATTATTAGTAATAATACAGTTTGTTGCTAGGCTTAGCAGATGACTCAGTTTAAAACAAATTATGGTATAAAGGAATTTCAGTCCATGTTCTGTTGTGATACCTCTGCTTCCCTCATGAGTTACCATCTTTCAGCACTTAAAGAGTTCTCCATTCACAGTGTGGCCATCCACCATAGAGGGTGCTTTCTCACTTTCTCTTTGGCAATCTTGCATACCTTCTAGCAAATTAAAAAAAGAAGTTCTCCATTATTTTTCTCCTTTATTTTCCCGTTCTGTTTTGCCTTCTATTCTTTTTGACTTTTAAATTTTTGTTTATTTTTGCTGTATGTAGTTGTGCTCATTAGAGAGAGAGAAGAGAGAGAGAAAATGATAGATCTCCCCCCCGGGGGGAGGAGAAGGTGGCCAGGATTTGGGGCATACGTATGCCTGCACACTCACCCGGCATGATTTTTTTTTTAGAATTATTTATTTAATTTTATTTATTCATTTATTTATTTTAATGTGATCAGAGAGAGACAGAGAGAGAGAAAGAGGAAGTGAGAAAGCAAGCCACCAGATTCAGGACTTGAACCATGGTCAGCCATGTGGGAATGTCCAGCACCTTAATCACCATGCCTCCTGCTGGCCCTGACTTTTTTTTAAATTCATTTATTTATTTATTTATCAATCATTAGAAAAATCTCTTTAATAGAAGATACATGTAGTACTCCAAAAACACACAAATTTTAGCAGCACCGTGAAAACACATTATCTAAACATTAAAGGAACCTAATATAATCAGGTTAGAGCCTATTTTCAGTTAAAATAATCAAACTGTTATTGAAATGTATCAGTACAGAAATAACTTCACAACAGCTAATGTTTGAACTTACAAAACTAGGATAACAGCAGTCACTGGTGGATAACTGTATATGTGAGGATTATAAGATTATAGTGAATGAAGTAAAAACTTTGAGTTTTCAATATTACCTTTCCATGTTACATTCTGACAGCACTGGAACAGGACAAAATCTACTATCTCCAAGAGAATCCAAAATCTACTAAATCCAAGAGATTTTCAACCTTAAAAATAAAGCTACTCGTTATTATTAATAAGAAATAAGGGAACCAGCAGTTAGCGTAATGGCTATGTCGCTGGACTCCCACGTAGTCGATCGCGGTTCGCGTCCTGGACCCGGTGGCTTAAAACTCACGCCGGGCGCGTGTGCATTCGTGCCCAAGATCCCGAGAGGAGAATGGAGGAGAAGGGATTGCGGCGTGACCATCCCCCCTGGGGGGTGATTTCTCGCTTTCTGTCTCTATGCCTCTCTCCGTCTGTCTGGCAAGCACACGCGCCCTATAGCAAAAATCTCTCTCAAAAAAAAAAAGAAAAAGAAATAATAGGTAAATTTGAGCATTTCCACAGCTGACGTAATGGGACAAACAATTCTCTAGATTAAGATAACGAGATCTCCCCCTCATGTATATGCTAGTTTATTAATATGTACCTGCTTTATTTATCCTACACCTACGCTGAGACTACGGTCTCAAAGGTGCCCTGAAGACTTTAGTGGGTCGGAGGATATTATCTTTAGGTTTTCCAAAGACTTTTTAGAAAGAAGTAGCAATATAAATAAAACTTAGTAAAATTTCCCTGAGGAAATTAGTAAACATTTCATCCTCTCCAGCTCCCTTTTTATCGTATTTCTAAACTTTTTAAAGCATTTAAATAAGCACACTACAAAATTATTAATTCAAGCAAATCCCAGGCTTAGTTCATTCACAGATACTTTTTAAAATCAGTTTTGAACTTTAAAAAAAATTATTTGCTAAGCTTTTACAGCTTTTTGTATTATATCTGATTCAGCGGCATTAGCGATTTCCTTGAATCACTTACTACATCTTTGATTTTTAAAATTATATTGATAAACTACGTTTTCACTGTATAGGCTGCTCTGCGTACGTTAGTCAAACTCTGTAGTACTGTTTGATGTCCTGGTCTGACTTAGTTTTACGTACTACCCCAGCAATGTTTACTGGAGTTAGTATGTGAAAGCTATAGAACAAATAAAAACACAGTGTATCATGCTATTACTTATCAATGTGATTCTAACTGCAGTAAGCTAAAAAATCGACATTTTTTAAATGGGCTTGGCTGTACTTGTGTATTTTATCAACCTAGTTTCGAAAGAGCGTTTTATGGAAATATAAAGGAACAAGGATGGGCAGGCCTCCGGATAGTACTACAATAGTAATGAGCCGCTGGCGTCGGGAAATCCTTTTCAACCAGGCTTTTAGAGTTAACGCTGGCCTGCTGGCTGACCCCTGCTCTCCAGTCTGAATTATTTTCTTTCCTGAAGGAAAGGAAGATTTGAATAGCATATTTATGCCACAGTGGCTAGTGCTAAGACAACCCAGCAACGAAGACTTAAGAGTGAGAAGAACGACTCTCGGCTCAGTCCATGGGATCTTTTTCCTTGGAATGCTTTTTTTTTTTTCTGGTTGTTTGTGAGCATAACTGGAATAGAGCCAAGAAAGGACTTGTGTGGCCATCGATAATGTAGAAGAGCCGGTTTAGAGGAGGGAGAACTCATGGCTAGGCATGAAGGAAAATGTTGTCTTTTAGCTTTTCTGGGATGAGTAGAAACAATATTTAATTTTGACATGAAAACAAAACCCAAAAGGCTCATTGCTTTCACTTACAAGTTTCTGGGAAATGTTTCTTGAATTAAATTTTAAGTAAGCGCAAATGCAGACCACAAGCTCCCAGAACCCAGAGATGATGTCTTATTGGATGCCTGCTGCAATGCCAAGAAAAAAAAAAAAAGGAAGAACAAATTTTGCATAATGCTTTCCTGTTTCTGTGAAGCAAAGAATGCCAAGCCACACTGGGGTTAGTGATTTGAGGAATTGTTTTGGAGATCTGGAAATTTATCACACGTTGATCTCATGTGCTGGATTGGCTCTTTAGTACCCTGTTTTCTTGGAGGTTTGGGAAAGAGCGGAACACCAAAGTCAACTTCGGATTTGACTCCAGTCGCTTTTGACTTCCTCTAAGTTCACTGAAGCATGTTGATTCTGGAAACAAAGGCATGTTTCCAATATGGGGAGGCTGATAACTGGCTCATGATCTGACACAGAACCATGTGGCCAAGGGAAGCAAAGCAGAAGAGAACTGGTGGGGACTTCTGTTAGCTTTCCCCAAGGAGGCAAAGGGACAGCCCAGCCGAGCTGACAGCCATGTCCGAGGCCTCAGTGCCTCTGGCTTCCTCCACGTAGATTGCTCTGGTCTTTCTGTTCCATTTCCAACTTTTGCTCA